GGAAATGACATGAAATTGGGCAACCCGTCTATGCGAGTAATAGCCACAACGTTAAACTAAGATACATTGTCAAATAAAATAATTCTTTAATCTGCTCTGTTGTCCTTGTATTATCGTCGAAACAACGACTATTTCTCTCCCTCCGCATACACCAGACGATGCATTCTGGAACAAAGACCCAAACAATCTTGCTATCTTTTTTACGAAATCTTCTTTCCTATGCCTTCAAATATCCTCCATACACTGTGGAAACACCCAATCCATGCGTTGAGAAGCCAAAATATCGTTCCATGGGGTACAAGCGCAACAAAATAAGGAACAAGTGGTCAATCGTCTCTCCATTCCTCCGACACATATAGTACCATTCCGTAACATAAAAGCCCCTATATCATAGGTTATCCACCGTTAACACCTGTCCCCTCACAGCCGTCCACAATAAAAATTCCACCCGAGGGGGTAGTTTACAACGCCATACCTTCTTCCATGGGAATGAACTCTCCTTAGGTTCCAATAAAGATCTAAAATAAGAGCTTACTGAGAAAATGTCATCATGTGCCAATCTCTACCTGCTACGATCACTTTCGCTTACCCTGATGTGCACGTCATACAAAGAGGTCAGGAGTAGTGCATAATCATCCAATTCATAGTCCTGTAGACAACTCCCAAAAGCGATGTTCCAGCTGGGATTCCCATTATGCACATGTAAGACTTCATTCACCATAACTTGCGGCATCAAAGGAATACGATACAGGGAAGGATACTCCGCTCTTAGTAGCCGATCTCTACACCAACAATCTTCCCAGAATTTGATAGTATTGCCATTCCCAAAAACTTGTGATTTTAAATGAAGGAAAAACTTGCAACTGTAAATGAATGAAAAACTCGTATGGTTGAAGCTGATGAGAACTCATTTTCATCTTCATCTAGGATTTCAGTAAATTAAGCAACAAGTCCTCATTTTCAAACTCATTTGATGGACGTTGGAATCCCAAATTGGAGAACCAAAAGCCCAAATTCGAGAATGCCGAAAACCCCGAAATTCTCCAACACAATCTCACAAACCAAAGCTCCTCAACTTGTTAATTAGTTCTTATAAAATAAAAGAAAATCAACCCAAGTTGAGTAGAGATCAATAATTTGATTACATAAAAGTTCAGTAATATGGCTTACATACGTGTTCAAATTGCACTTATCACTGCCCTAGGTAACATATGCTTATGTCATGCATACACCATTTCACTCATTGATCCGGACAACTTTGTCCTAGATTCATTTCAGGGTTTTGTGCTGGCCAATGTGGGATTTCAGGTGTGGTCAAATGTAACGTAGAATCCTTTTGCCATTAGTCTGTAGCAACATTCAAATGACTAAAAGCTCTTAAAAACTAAGCCCCCATTTCAGCTACATTATTGAAAAAATGAAAATGAAAAATATAGCTGTTATGAGCCTCACACAAGAGATAAAAAGTCAAATATGGTGGTTTGTTGTGATGGATAATATTCATATTTTTCGTTTTAATGAGGATAAATATTAGAGATTCCATTATTTGAAGTTGTTTTAAATTGACTTGAATTTTGAACCAGACTAACTGTAGTATCTTAGGGCAAATTTTGATAGCTTTCAGCCTTCCACCCAGCATTTATGCTGCACTTTTAGTCTATGACATGCGTATGATTGGTCTGGAAAAGGTTTGCACCTTTGAGATGTTAATTGTAACATTTGATCTCTTTCCCCTGATGATGAATTCCATGCTATTTTGATAATATATACAATCTTGAAATAATTATTCTGATCTCCAGACTAACTGTAGTATCTTAGGGCAAATTTTGATAGCTTTCAGCCTTCCACCCAGCATTTATGCTGCACTTTTAGTCTATGACATGCGTATGATTGGTCTGGAAAAGGTTTGCACCTTTGAGATGTTAATTGTAACATTTGATCTCTTTCCCCTGATGATGAATTCCATGCTATTTTGATAATATATACAATCTTGAAATAATTATTCTGATCTACGCTGTGTCATTTTCTTTTCCTTGATTTAATTTTTTCAATCCATTATACCTTAACGTGTGATGCAGTTTCCAGATGACTGCAGTTGCAAAAGAACATTTTACTTTGTATTATATTCTAAAATCAACTTTTCTTTCAGAATATAATCATCATAAATGTAATTACTTATCCAATTTGATATTGTGATGTGATAATCAGATAAGAGGAGCAAGTGTGAAGTTCACCACAAGGTGAACAAATCAGACAACAGATTGAAGGCTGGTGATGAATTTCCTGTTAGTGAGTTTAAATCATATCGAGATCCTGATCTTTATGCTGTGGAAAAAGAAATTTATCTTGGTTCTCTTTGTGAGGTGCACGATTTTGCAGAACCATGGTACTTTTGGATGATAATGCTGAAAAATGGAAACTTTGACAAGAACACAACACTTTGCCCTGAGAATGGCCGAAAAGTTACTAAGATAGTGACAGACAGAAGCTTTCCTTGTTTTGGCGAAGGATGCATGAATCAACCGCTTGTGTACCATAATCAGTCACTGGTGGTTTATCTTGGGAATAATGCATCTTTGGTTGGGGGATTCTATGGAACATATGATCTTGATGCCAATTTGAGTGCTGGTTCCGGAAATAATTCTTTCTTTTCTATTTCATGGCAGAAGAATTTAAGCACAAATAGTTGGATTGTATCGCACAAATTGACATCATCATCCAAGTATCCCTCGCTCATGTTATATCTAAGAGCGGATGCAGCAAAAGGATTTAATGGAGGTTATCACTATAGTGGACGAGGCATCATAAGAAAGGTATGATCTGTAGTTTGTTCTTGTGGTTGTAATTTGCTCATATATATAGCCTCCGTTTGGCCCCCTTTTTTCTCAAATTTTAATGTTTGAAATGGTGTTTTTTTGAAGAATGTGTGGTGGGAAAAAAAAAATGAAAAGTTGTCGATTTACGTGTAATTTTTTTTTTATGGAAGATTGTGGTTGAAAATAAGAGAGGATAAAAAAATGAAAGAGAATGAGGGCCAAACGAGGGCATAGTAGTATCAAGCTGTTACTTTTGATAGGACTTCTTGTGATTTATCAAGTACTGCTCAAAATGACTTTTCTTTTGGGTAATTAGAACAAAACGTCCCTACATTTCATGATTTTTGTGGAAAACGTCCATACTTTTCGTTTTTTGGCGCATTTCATCCTTTCCTTTACCTTTTCTTGTGCAAAACATCATTTTCATCATTTTCTCAATAAAAAAACTATAAAATGATTAATATACCCTTCTATTTAAAATTAAAAAAATGAAGAACTAAATGCAATCGTAGCTCCAAATAAAAAAAATTCTCCACCTCCACTTCCTCTTTTGAACTTTTTTAAAAATTGGAACTACAATTGCAATTAGTTCTTTATTTTTTTTTTTATTCAAATAGAAGGGTATATTAGTCATTTTATAACTTTTTATTGAGAAAAATGATGAAAATTATGTTTTCCACAAGAAAAGGTAAAGGTAGGGATGAAATGCGCCAAAAAACAAAAGGTAGGGACGTTTTCCACAAAAATCATGAAAGGTAGGGACGTTTTGTGCCAATTACCCTTTTTTTTTTTTTTAAATTATGTTAGATTCTTTTTTCAGTAAACTTTTTGATTCCTTTTCTTAATATTCCAAGTTTAATGGCTGATCAACAAACTTCATCAACATTTCTATCTTCCGTGTTTCTTTTTGATCTGTGTAGGCCCGTTTCATAAAAATAGTTATATTGAGAGATTATGACTCCACATTTGTTATGACAGTTACTAGAGTCTCCTAACTTTAAGGTCCGATTGACACTTGACATTAAACAAGGTGGAGGGTCCGATAGCCAATTTTATCTCCTTGACATTGGTAGCTGTTGGAAAAATAATGGAGATCCATGTGATGGTGACGTTCTAACAGACGTGACTAGATACAGTGAGATGATTATTAACCCGGCAACTACAAGTTGGTGTCGTTCAGATAATCTGGTGTCATGCCCACCTTACCACATCAGTTCTACTGGCACGGTAATACACAGAAATGATACATCTCGGTTTCCGTATTCTGCTTATCATCTTTACTGTGCTCCTGGAAATGCGAACTATCTGGAAAAACCATTCGATATTTGTGATCCATATAGCAACCCACAAGCACAAGAGTTGGTTCAAATTCTGCCTCATCCTGAGTGGGCTATGCATGGTTATCCTGCAAAAAAAGGGGACGGATGGATTGGGGATTCAAGGACGTGGGAGCTTGATGTTGGAACTCTATCCAGTCGGCTATACTTCTATCAGGTATTGATACTCCTTTTGAATTCTAACTTAAAAAATTAGCTATGGACAAGATAGATGGTCATTTCCCTGTTTGTTAGGGACGAATAATTGTGTTGTATGAGCTTCACCAGTGAACCTTTGGTTTTGGTTCTCCATGCCAGTACAAGCTTTGCTAGTTAGCCATAGTTCACCATAGAGAAAGACTTCAAACTTGTGAGATAGGGCGATTTGTAGACATGTTAACTGCTGAACCACTATGTTGTCATGTCAGTACACTACTAATCATTAATCAATAGAGGGCCCTGCTACATTAGCCCTCAATTTGAGCTGGCTCAACCAGTGAAATCTAAAACCATTGCTTACTAGTTAACCCGGTGAAAGGCACGCTCATTTCACAACTAATGGAAAAGTACCACAAAAATTTTAAAGAAGTATAGCACCATTGCTTTGCCACCTGTATATTGCACCTTCTTCAGTAATGGCAACTATACTAAATGAAATCCAAGTGCTCTACTTCACAATATTGTGCCACTTGTGATCTGATGTCAACTCTGGTGTTACAATGAGATGGATAAAGCCATTTCCTTCTTCTCTTATGCAGGATCCAGGAACAAAACCTGCAAAGCGTGTGTGGTCTTCTATCAACATTGGTACAGAAATATATGTTAGCCCCTCCGGGGCAAATGCTGAGTGGACTGTAAGTGATTTTGATATATTAGTTCCTAAAGATACCAAAGAGGATGGTCATGGATATATGTGATGTCTTTATATATGTTTACCTCTGTAAAAAAGATCAAAAATACAAAACGTTTACACTCCATCTTATCCTTTCTGATTGCTTCTAGATTGAGTTCTTCATCTAACAGCAATCGGTAATTGCTCCGAACGGAATAGAACCCCGGCCGCCTTTTTTTTTTTTGTCTGTAGTGCCAGATTAAGTTGTCTGCTTTTTAATCAAAGCCTGGTGGAATAGAAAGAATCAGCTTCCTATCAAATGGCAAAACAATACCATTCACTCGCGCAATAGGATCCTGACCCAAGCAGTCTTCTTACGGCAAGTGGTAATCACATTTAATGATATTGGTCGTGGCAACTATAGAATGCTGTCCCCGTCCCCAACCCGCAAGCGAATACCTCTCTGAGCAAGTTATCTTCCCTACAGTATACTATTCCACTAAAAAAATAAATAAATAAATAAAAAGGAGGATGCATTAGGATGACACTTCCCTTTTGAAATTTGACCCGGTAACCAAGCGCGATGTTCTATTGTGGACCATCCTGTTGTCATCCCTATTAACGTACAGATCAAATAGCTCATGAATATTTTCCCGAACTGCAGTTTCAATGGATGGCTTTTCTTTTTCCAAGTCATTGGACAATCTTCGAACCAGCCAGTTACATCCCTTTTTGGACATTTGAATCAACCATTTGCTTCTTGGTGTTTTGTTCATTTTAGCGTTATATTTTATTTATGTAATTATTTATTTTCTAGCAAAACAGAAATTTCCGTGTTAAAAGTTGACTGTAGCTTCTAATCTGAACTATTGCACATGTCTTGGTGCCATTGCAAGTGATTTATGGTGAGAATCACATCAAGTACGTAACTTCAACTTCAATGTTTTATTACAAAATTTTAATCCACAAGTGCGGATTGGGACCACTCATTTCTTGCATTCCAAATTAGGAAAACAACTAATATTCCTTTTCAAATAATTTTGAATGTTAGACACCATTATTTCAAAAGGAGCGATCCATATTTTTATGAATCTAACTATTGGCAAGTATTCATACATAGCTGATGCCATAAAATTGACGTATAAATTTGTAGTTTCATCATGAACTACGATCATTATTGCAAGAAACTTGTACAAAAAATTATTAAATGAAACAAAATGTAATTTCTAGAACGATTATAGTAAGTTACGTATGACACTAATGTTTTTACCATGACACAACATATGTTGGAAGTGTCCTTTTGGTTTATGTACGTTGGGACCACCTGGTTTTAGGTATCAAGTTCTTTTCTCTATATGTATGTACAATTTACGAATCTTTTCAATTCTCATCATTATCATAGAATTTTTCTTCATACTCATTATATGTGCTCGAGCTTGTCTTAAGTTCCCTCTCTCGACAATATTAATCTTCACTTTAATCTTGGGATCATGCACAATATCTATTAATCATCACGTTGCTCCATCCAGCATTTTTATATTACTCATATCCTTACCTTCAAATTTCTCGTTATTAGCCATCATAAATTGTGCACATATCATGAATTATAATCCTCAAACCACTCATAATGTGGCGACATATGGTTGAAACACCAAGAATACAATATCTCATAATCAGATGACATCTGAGGCCTTTTGAAACTTTATTTTTCTAATCTTCAAGATACTTTTCAATTTCTCATAATTCTGATTAATGTGTCTCTACTTGTGACAATAATAGCACTTCACATCTTGCTCTGTTCGAGATTGAGAACGATTATCTCTTGACCACTATTCCTTCATTGTGATTCACTCCACCACACTCTATCTTGAACTTCATCAAGATTACTTGCACCATTCATAGTACGACTTATGACAAGCTCAAATATTTGAGACGTTGAATGAAGATGAAAGAACCAAAGCCGGATGTCCAAGGGCCATAATGTGAACTAAAGTTCCATTTTACCCTTCTCCCCCATGTATATATGATTATATTTGTACTATTATTTGTTATTTCTCTAAGTTTTTAATATGGAAGAAAGTAAACATTTTAGTTTTTAAAAAAAAATATTATTTTTATATCTTTTTTGTACAAGTAGATTTCATCTTAATAACGTTTTTTGTGAATTTTGATTTCTAATTGGAAATGAAAAGATAAAATTAATATAAGATATTTGCTGAACAATAAATTCAAAATAAATCTAAGCTATAAACTTTTGATTGCAATTTATGCATAAATTATTGCTAATATTACTTTAACAAGATACAAATATGCATAAATTAGTAATAAAATAGTTATGATAATATTACTTTTGTCACGCACTTCAATTATTCAGATGTTTCTAACATAAGTATCATCTTTCATCTTCAATCACACAATCAATTTTAAAATGTAACCTATTTGTCCAAAATTTATACATGTACAACTAAATTTATACATTTACAACTCTCTTCGATTTTTGTTCTTCTTACTTTGCGTCTTTGGTCCGTACTGGTCTCCTATCTTGCATTGTCTCTTAAAGCCAATAGATTTATGCCAAGTGGACGTACCATTAAAAAACATTTTTCCACTCTCAAAAATGGGTTTTATGAAACACATTTTACAATGTCAAAATTAAAAATAAGCAAGAAAGAGAAAAACACACACACACACACAATTAACCCAAAAATCTTACACACACACATACACACAAAAACAAGAACAAAAAAACAAAAAACCAGAAATCAACTCTCCAATTGCTACGGAAGAATGAGAATCAATTAACCCAAAAATCTTACACACACACACACACCCACAAAATAATAATAATAAAACAAAAAATCAACACTCTATGTACTACACATAGCTAGAACACTCAGAGAAACGTATGCATATACGTACCTTTTTTCTCCCTCTTTTTAACTCTCTCTTTACCCGCACAATTCTCTCTATTTTGGCTGCCATAAATTCTTTCAAACAGGCCATATATCTGTCTCTCTTTAACTTCAATCCTTGGCTGCTAGAATTTTCACCCTATGTTCCGTTGAAAAGTCGAGAGATACTAATATTAACCAAAATTCCAAAGCCACAATTATAAACTGAAAATAAAGTGCAGAAAATAAAAATGAACAGGGAGAATTTTTCGGCCAAATCCCCAAAGGTTCGACGGCCACTTCTAACGTCTAATCCCCTGTTGAGCATTCATTAAAATGAATAAAACTCGATTGCACTATAAAGCCCCAAAAATAGGCAGCAATAATGTTCCAAAATATTACAAAGTAATAAATCACAAAGACTTATCTTATGAAGAACACCAAAAAAGGGGCCACTATTCCACACTAGAACCGGCCAAGATCACGAAGATCTCACAAGCAACTAAACTGCCCTCTCTCACATAACAACTACAAGTGCTTCTTTCACAGCCAAATAACATTCCACCGAGGAACAAAACAAACCAGCCACTACTTCACACATGAAGAGGCCGAGATCACCAAATCGAGGCAAAACTCGAATCCCACAGGTTCGACTCATCCAAAACTGAAATAGTACAATACCCCCATGGATCTACAATATTTCTTGATGTTAACAGATTCTTCTTTTAGAAAATACTCCAAGAATCAAGCCCTAATCTCACTAAGAAGAAAGGGGCTTTTCGCACAAAGGAGAGAGAGATATGAAGGGGCCGAAACTGAGAGTTAGTAGTGAGAGAAGAGAGTAACTTTTTCTTAGAGAGAATAAGACGTGAGAGAGAGAAACTTGAAAAACTAGAAGAAAAGTCTCCCACTCAATAAATGTGAATAGCTATCCAAAGATCTCATGGTTAAGTAGATAGAAAGATCTAGAATCAGATCCATTTGTCAGGAAATCACCACGCATCACAATCTAGCTATAGAGTTCCATTAATAAAGTGTTATTCCAAAAACACGTTTTCTCCTTTTTATAATTTTTGAAGCACGTTTTTGAAGGCTACAGGTCATGGGTTCAGTTCTCAACATCCGTGAACTTCTATTTCCAGCCCTTTTAAATTGGGGAACACAATTCTCACACCTATGTATGGGAAATTAGTCG